ACGAAATGAATCACAATTTGTGAGCGGTGCGATTGGCGCTATACCGCTTTGCTATGTTTCTTAGCAAACATCATTATATCATAATCTAATGAATTAATAATATAGCTATACAAAACTGCAATAATTGTTCATAGCAGGAATTTTGCGATTAAAGATATTGTCAATGAATCTTGTAAAACGAACCCAGACGGAGTGTGGACACACACTGCTGACCACAGACTGTTGTTATTGCTGTGTCATATATAGATATGCTATATAGATTGCGAAACCCTTACCTAACTCTGCATAATTTTTTTTTTTAAATATCAAACCCCTAGCCCTTTTCATGGCACTTACGCAAAATGAGCAAAATCGCGCTTGAACCTGAACTGACTAATTAACCAATTATCCATTTTGCAACAAAATTGTGCCAAAAAAGTAGCGTCGGACTGCGTGCTCCCAAAATAGGACGTTTATATATGAGGCATAGCAGCTACAACTTACCCAATTTCAAACCATGTGGGTCAAACGTTCCTGAGTTATCGTGACCGTAGCCAAATGTGACGAGGATGGACGGCGCGCACGACGTACGACAGGACTGACGAGCCCCTATGCAATAGTCTAGCTTTGACGCATGTCCAAGGTAAGCTAAAAATGGGAAGGAAATTCGTACGTAGTTTTATGCACGGTGCTGTATACCCGCTATCGCATCGCGACGCATCGCCAAAGTAACACACACGGCGTTTAATACGTAGAGCAAACAGCAGCGCAGACAGGTAGGAACGTACGTATAGCCGTCGCGCCGCCGCCTACACACGTTTGTTGCTGTTTCCGCAGATAGATAGATAGATAGATAGATAGATAGATAGATAGATAGATAGATAGATAGATGGATGGTGGCTCTCCTCTGTCACAAAACGCAAGCTAGTGAGTGCATGCATATGGTTTCCGGGAAAAGCACGAGCGCCGACTGAACATCGCGGCTTAACGGCCGTAGCTAACGGTTCAACGTTTACCGCGTGCTTAATATGAACTAACATGTAGTAATTACGTATTAATTATGTATTAATTATGTGTCCGCGCCGCAGGTTGGCGTGTCGCACGCACAGCGGTGTCTGGATGCGAAGCTGGAGCGGCTGCAGGCGAGATGCGAGCGCCGTAGCGGCACGGTTACGTGCTCCGACGCAGACGAGTTCGCAGAGGACAGGCCCTGTCGCTGCAGAACTAGGAGAGGCGTGGAGGTCTGCCAAGAGGTAACGCGGTTGGTGCTCCCTCTCATCAGGGGACGAATAAAACCTGCTATCTCTCCCGCGATCACACCAACCCCTCCCCCAGGAACGCATGAAACCTACTCTCTGCTCCTAATTATAGCGACTCCCTCACCCAGGAACGAACAAAACCTACTCTCTCTCTCTCTCTCTCCCCAAACCACACCGATACCGCTCCCAGGAACGAACAGAACCAACCCTCCCCTATTCACACCAACCCCCAACCCCAGGAACGAAAAAACCTGCCCCCCCCCAAAAAAAACCATACTGATACCCCTTCCAGGATCTAACTTCACCACAACTATATCGCTCCCTCCCCCAAAACCTAATCTCCACAAAACCCCCAAAAGGCATCATCATTACCCCCCGCCAACAAGGTATTCGGTAGCAACGGTAGTGTACATATCGGTAGGGTTAACACCTCTCTCACCTCTCTCACCTCTCTCTCTCTGCTGCTACTGTTACAGATCACGAGACGCGTGTCGCAGTGCGGCTGCGACTCACCAGACGGCACCATGCGGATATTCCCAGATAAACTGTGCACCGTGAAGGACGGCTGCACGTGCGCCCTGGCAAACAGGAGAAGGGAACCGTGCGATCCTATCGGAGATGGTGAAGCGGCAGCAGACGAGGATGATGCGGCAGCAAACCAGGAGGCGGACATTGAGTGAAGAAGCCCCAAAAGTTGAGTCATCATGAAAATAAACGTGGCGCAAAACGTCCACAGCCATGCCCGGTGACGGTTATATTCACGCGTATATCTCAAAATACCAGCTTCCGTGTGTGAAACAACGCGAATCATTTATCTCGCACGATGTATGCAAAACGTAACGTATTTCATAACGGAAACACAAGGTATTTTCTCGGAGAGTCAAACAAATTCTGTCTTAAATTTTAGCAAAATTTGTGTGTCAAAACAGCTTACGGTGTATAGAGTAATATAAATCTAATATATTCAAAAATAAAAATCGTACTTCTGTGTCAAAACAGCTTACGGTCCACCCACACGTACGTACACCGCACACGTATGCACACACGCACGCACGCATCCACCCACACGTACGCACACCGTACACGTAAGCACACACGCACACACTCACCCATCCACCGCACAGGTATGTACGCACACCGCACAGGTATGCACGCACGCATGCTCGTGCTAACGGGAGTAGTATTTCAGCGATTAGTATCACCACCACCGTATATAAGCGGTCACGATTTTCCTGCGCGCGGGCGCCGCGGACGACAACAACAACAACAACAGCCTGTTCTGCTAGCATCTATGACAAATACGACATACGCATATACGCTCTCCTATGACACTATTTGTCATAGGAAGAATCTTCCTATGACAAATACGACATACGCATATACGCTCTCCTATGACACTATTTGTCATAGAAAGATTCTTCCTATGACAAATATTGTTGTATGTGTTGTGCGCATCATATGAGTTTAGGAGCGCTATTATGAACACAAGCAGTGAATTTTAGCTGTAATGCGAAACGAAGTTGACTCGCCAATATTTATCATAAGAAGAATCTTCCTATGACAAATAGCGTCATAGGAGAGAGTATATGCGTATGTCGTATTTGTCATAGATGCTAGCAAAACATGTTGACAACAACAACAACGTCAGTATCAGCGCACGAACGTAAGTGGCGGCACGACGACCCAACGGCACGCAGTCGACGAACCGAAACCGACAGCGTCAACATGGCCGACTTCACAGCCCCGACATCCGGTAGCGCCGCCTTCTACTGTAATCCAGTGCGCGTCAGCGTGCAAGACAGCGTCACGGTCGTGCGGCCAACTACGAAGCTATGATTCGATCCGGAACAGATCACAGCTTATTAACCTTAAAAGTAGCCGAGACGTATGAAAAAGCTCTGTGGAGGAATAGGACGAGAGACGAGAGAAACAGAAGACACGCCGGCATCATGCAGACCCATGTGATTCTTGCTAGCGTACTCTTACTGACACTCTACGTAAGTAGCGCGTAGACAGTAAACGTTTACTAGAAGACAGCCAGACAGACAGATATATAGATAGATAGATAAATAAATAAATAAATAAATAAATATATATACAGATAAATAGATAGATAGATAGATAGATAGATAGATAGATAGATAGATAGATAGATAGATAGATAGACGCACATGTAGCGCACACCGCCAACCAAACGTTTAATTTTTGTTGCACACGCACGCAGCATCACCAATCGCTCGACAAATGTCATTATTAATATTATATTATATTAATTATATAACATAATATGTATATATATATATATATAATTAATTTTTAATTTATTCGAATAAATAAAAAATCTGACTTCACTTTCATCGTCTACTTGCAGAAAAACCTACCGACCTGCACATGCGTAGACGGCCAACGCGTGCGCACGTCATACTGCCCTGTCGGAATATGCAACTGCCCCAGCGACAACACCGCCACCAGAGTGTCTGTTAGCACCGTGCCCTGCCCCACGAAGGTTTCCGCCGCAGTAGTAGTATCCCCATAGATGGCGCTGGGGTTCGCACATAAATAAAATGAAGTTAGTCGTTATAGGGTACTAGAAATAATACACACGAGGATTTGTACTCTAAAACGTCGTTGTAGCGTTGGTAACAGATGTTGTTGGGTGTGTTCAGCACGTAAAATGCAAACTAAACGCATGGCGATATATGTGTTAAATGGTGTTGGGTTGTAATCGTAAACGTGTCATTATATCACTAGACTGATCTCTACTCTGCCATAGACATAGTACAGTCTATCTCAAATGCACTTGTTTTCAATTAATCACCGACAATTTACAAGTTTACCAATTCTGCCATTACCGCGATACGATAAAATGCATTGCTGTTACGATGTGTTCATATCCAATTTCCTATGCTATAACTGCATAAAATCTTAGTGTTTTTAATGTTAGTGTAATCAGTGATATTTCCGCTGTCAGGTGAGACTATATTCAGCTATATTTTTTTCAGATTGAGTGTTTCTCAGCAAAATTATCGTAATAATCAGTTTCATATAAGCGTTTCGCATTAAATCACGTTCAACCACACTCACATTATTATTATTTACATTATATCGAACCTACACATGGGGCAGAGGTGACCTTTAGGTAGGATGTTTGAATATCGGGTTTATATGTTGAATCGATTTAAGATGGCGCGAAAACTGGTGCCAGTGATCATATATGCTCTTGGAGAACTTGCGTGATGTGTAAGTTTGTTCAATTAAAGTTATTCTGTTATTTTTTCATTTGTTTTCATCAATTGTATAGTGTTTATTCACGACTAAAACTCTCATTGTGCAGATACGGTTATTACAATATATCTGATTATGGACTATTATTAGATATGGAATAAATAATTACGTTAAATTAGTCAAATGATGACTTATTTTCTAGTTATTCCTTATCTACAATAACAATTTCAAAGCGTTAAAAATACAATATTACAGCACAGCACGTATGCTGATACGCATCTCACATCTGTCTTTTTTTTTATATCCTGATTAACTATGAACAAACTAAATGTATTTATCAGCGATATAGCCTAATCTATTTAATACTTACCCTAAAATCTTTCACACATTAAAAATATTATTTAACTCCCGATAAATTGATCGCAAACCACCCATTCTAGACTCATAATTGCCCTCCTCGATTGCATGCTAGCGAGCATGCATGAGTGAGCTCACCCACGCATGCACGCACGCACGCACGCACACTGTCACACTCTCCACACGTACGCTTGTACGCACACCGCCCACGTACGCACACCGCACACGTACGCACACCGCACACGTACCCACACCGCACACGCATGCACACACGCACACACGCACGGCACCCACCCACACGTACGCACACCGCACACGTATGCACATGCACACGCACCCACCCACCCACACGTACGCACACCGCACACGTATGCACATACGCACACACGCACCCACCCACACGTACGCACACCGCACACGTATACACACACGCACGCACGCACCCACCCACACGTGCGTACACCGCACACGTATGCACACACGCACACACGCACCCACCCACACGTATGCACACACGCACACACGCACCCACCCACACGTACGCACACCGCACACGTATGCACACACGCACGCACGCACCCACCACACGTACGCACACCGCACACGTATGCACACACGCACACACGCACCCACCCACACGTACGTACACCGCACACGTATGCACACACGCACATGTACGCACACCGCACACGTATGCACACACGCACGCACGCACCCACCACACGTACGCACACCGCACACGTATGCACACACGCACACACGCACCCACCCACACGTACGTACACCGC